ACCCAGGACAGTGCCTGCCCTGTAAGCACTATTTGTTGAATGAATGGTTCAATACTGGATACCAGGCGCACTGAAGAAGAGATGGATGAGACCGCTGCCCTCCTGGGACATTCTAGTGGGGAGATAGTAATCATGTGAATGCCATAAAAAAGATAATGACAGTGACAGATGCAGATAAAGGGTGCTGAGATGTCACACACAGGGGTATTGTTCTGGTAGGATGCCCAGAGAAGGCGCCTTTGAGAAGGACATTGCACCAAGTTTTGAATGATAAGGTACTGTAAACGGGATGGCTGAAATGTGGCCAAATGCATTGGCCTATTCCAGAGACAGAAGTCTGGTGTGCAGTTTGAGTATATTTTAGCCAGAAGGGACAGTAGGCACAAGGTTTGAGAGTGGATGGGCTAGATTACGCAGAGCTGTGGTCTGAATCTGGGCTTCTCAGGGCAGTGAGTGTTTTGACTGGGTTATGTAAGTCCATTTCTCTTCTGAAATGTAGAGTTATCTTCAGAGACTCACAGATTATACCCTGTTTATCAGCTCTTATCTATTCCAAGAAATAAAGAGGGGATCATCTTAACCCTCCTTTTTAAACTGCTACTAGCCAGGTAGGAAAATGAGCAGGAGGAAATGCACTGAGTGGGAAGTTAGCCACCGAGCAACAGGGAGCAGTGGTGGGATCTAGAGACAGAGAGGAAGGAAATCGCCTTTATTGGATGTTTTCAGCCCTGTGCTTTATGTCTTGCTTATATTTTCTCAGTTAATCCTCCCTATAGCCTGTGGTACAGAATAATGTCTCCTTTTCAGCCCTCTCAAAAAATGTCTCAGGGCTTTTCCTCAAAACTGTGTGAATATGGTGACCTACAGGCTTAGTGGTTAAGATGCTGGACTCCTCCAGAGTTGATGATGGTTCAAGTCCCAGACCCAGCAGCTTGAAACTCAAACTGGCCACATGTGCATGCGTGCCCCAAATCCTGAGAGGAGACTGTCGGAGAAGGGATTGCCACGTGGCCATCCCCCAGGGCGTGATTTCTCACTTTCTGTCTCTGTCTCTTTGGCAGCATATGTGCCCTATAGCAAAAACTCTCTTAAAGGCACCAGCAGTTGGTGTAATGGCTATGTCACTGGACGCCCATGTAGTTGACTGTGGTTCGAGTCCTGGACCCGGTGGCTTAAACTCATGCCGGGCACGTGTGCGTGCATGTGTACCCAAGACCCCAAAAAGAGAATGGAGGAGAAGGGATTGCGGCGTGACCATCCCCCCTGGGGGGTGATTTCTCGCTTTCTGTCTCTCTGTTTCTCTCTTTATGGCGAGCGCACACACCCTATGGCAAAAACCTCTCCCAAAAAACTCTTAAGAAAAAAAAGAACTGCGAATATGTTACATTAAATGACAAAAGGTACTTTGCAGACATGATAAGGATTTTTTTTTCTTTTTAAATTTTTAAAAAATTATTATTTTAGTTAACTTTATTTATTTATTTTAATTTGACCAGAGAGGGACAGAGTAAGAGCGAGAGAAAGGGAAAGTGACAATGCAAGCCACCAGGTCCAGGACTCAAACCATGGTCGGCCATGTGGGAGTCTAGCGCCCTTAACCACTACCCCACCTGCCGGCCCCAAGACATGATAAGACATGATAAGGATCTTGAGGTGGAGTAGCCCAGATTATCCAGGTGGACCCCATCTAATCATAGGGTTTTGTGGAAAGGAGGCTAGCAGGGTCAAGGTAAACACAGAGAAGGCTTTGAGATGATGGAAGGCACGAGGTGGTAGAACCAAGGGAGGAATGGCATTGTGAGGTGGAGCTCTAAGCCCAGGACTGAGGACAACCTCTAAGCTGGAAATGGAAGAAACATCTTCTCCGTGAGAACCTGCAGAAACAGATGCTGTCCCACTGACACTTTGGTTTTAGCACAGCGAGACTGACTGGGCTTGAGCTGTAAGAAATGAAATTTGTGTTGTATTAAGCCACCAAGTTTGTGGGAATCTGTTGCTGCAAGGAAGCAGGAGGAAACCAGCTCTGATAGAAGGGAGTCACTGAGCTTAGCCTTCAGCAAGGAAGCTGAGGGGCGGGCTGCACCAGTAGCCTGGAGCCAGGATTTACAGCCAGGTATGGCTGACTCCAAAGTTACTTTTTGTAGCTCATGGGCTGCTCTCAGATGTGTGTGTCAGGGAGAGAAGATGCTAGAAGGAAAGAAAGGGGGTGACTCTAGGCAAAGAGTGAGGGAGAGGAACTTAGGGTCCATAGGCAGGAAATGACTCTCAAAGTATTCTCCTGACTGAGGTGAGTTCCCTAATCTGTAATAATGCCTACCCTCTGCCAAGGCCTTCATTAGTCACTTTGTGGCCCTGTGACTGCAGGAGCTGATAGTAGGCAGGTGAGGAAATGGAGGAAGAGCCAAGAATCCTGGTTGTGTTCCTGGGG